TATATATATGTGTGTGTGTGTGTGTGTGTGTGTGTGTGTGTGTGCAAATATATTGATAAAATAGGAAAGAACCGTTAGATTGATAATCCAAAGTTCTTTAGTATTTTTTATTTTATTTTTAAAAAAATAGTGCTCGATACACAAGTAGAGCCTAGATTATAATTATTTTTTAAAAATATGATTCCATAGCTACACAGGAATTACCATGTTTCGAAAACAGAAGCTGTTATAGAAATTAAATTAAATTAAAGTACCTATGGTTGGATTGGGATATAGATAGATATTTCCATAATCTAGTGATGAGAAAAAGAAAACAAATTTTCTAACATGTATGACCTTGTCAATGCATTTCATCCAATTTCCATTAAACACATAGAGGGAACATTACACAGTGAACATTTCAAAAGCCGGGTATTAACTACATGTCATGTGACATCGTTAGTGATTCAGCCTTTTTTTTATTTATGCTATAAGCAGGCAGGTCAATTCCACTTAAAACCGTGTCAACAGCTGTTGGTTCATCGCGTATCGAAGTAAACAATGATATCAGGAATATAGATGAAGCTGATTATAATGTTAAATAGGAAATGAAAATAATATAAAACCTTTCAATTATTCAATTATTTCCCTTCAAATCCATTAATATTGTCACACGTTATGCAAACAAACGTCAATATAAATGGTGAAAAAACGTTGCACGCTAAATTAAACTACTCCCAAGATGTAAATTACAAAATGGAGATACAAAAACCAAACAAGTACAACAATTTAAATATCTGGGAAGTGTTTTAACAGAAGGCAGAAAGTGTGACACTGAAATCTGGAGGTGCATTGCGATAGCGAAAGATGCCTTCCAAAATCTAAGTAAATTATTAAGAAACAGAAAGATTTCGTTAGAAACAAACAAAAGAGTACTGAACTGTTATGTAATATCAGTCAATCTCTTCCCAGAAGAAGAAAAGATTTGAAGCAATAGAAATGCGGTTCTACAGAAGGATACTGAGAATAACAGACCGAATATGTGATCAGCGATAAAGTTTTAGAAAAAAGGAAAGAAAAAGACACTAACACTTAATATCAGGCAGGGTCAGTTGACATTTCTAGGGTACATAATGAAGAAAGAGGGTTTGGCAGACACACAGAGGAAACTAAAAGAACTTCTACAGAAGGTAGTGAAGGAAAGCGAGCTGAAAGGACTAAGCATCAATTACAAGAAGCCAGAAGGTATGGTTCTTAACAAAAGGAACCGTCCAACATGCAAATTACAAATTGGAGATACCAAAATCAAACAAGTACAACAATTTAAATATCTGGGAAATGTTTTAACAGAAGACGGAAAGTGCGGCACTGAAATCCGAAGGCGCATTGCGATAGAGAAAGATGCCTTCCAAAAGCTAAGCAAAGTATAATGATACAGAAAAATCTCGTTAGAAACAAAGAAAAGAGTACTGAACCGGTACGTAATCTCAGATCTCACCCCCTATATGGAAGTAAATGTTGCACAATCTCCTTGCAGATGTAGAAGAGACTTGAAGGAACAGAAATGTGGTTCTACAAGAGCATGTTGAGAATAGCATGAATCGTATATGTGAGCAACGACGAAGATTTAGAGAAACTGAAAAGAAAAAGAATCCTTATACTTTGCATCAGAAAGAAAGAGTTGGAATTTCTGGGACACATAATGAGACAAGAGGGCCTGGAAAATTCGATGCACACACGCAAGAGGGACAGAGGAAAACAACGCGCAGCCTATCTATCGTGCTCAAATAAATGAATGGCAGAACAGAGTTTCGGAATGACAACAAAAAGAGAAAATTTATTGAAGCTGCATTATAAGATACAAACGTCAGGAAATTGGGGAGAGCCATGATCGCCAAAGTCCTGAAGGAACACGGTACATATAAGTCGGTGTGTATTTTTGCCTGAATTTTGGGGGTCGACGAGTTATCATTGTTTACATGATTTACATTGGGACTTTTGTTCTCCTTTTTGTTATTATTACCACAGACTCTAAATGGAAATCTGAGCAATTCAAAATAAGAACAAGACAATTTGCATTGCTTTGGTTTGCTTTACATTATATCAACCTCAATGGGTTATTTAATGCCGACAAGAGTTTTACGATAAGTTCGTATGAACAGAATATGTATTCTTTGTAAGAAATCAGTTTCATTGTCGTTTTTTTTGTAAAGAGGGTTTTGGTTGAGAGTCAAATGTAATTTTTTTTCCAAAATATATTACTGGTATTTTTACTATAAAAATCTATTTTTATACTTTTATAGTGTTTTGACCACAGTTTGCCCATAGTTGGGACCCTAACAGGTGCTACCACCTCGGGTCAGGGTGAACCTGGGAACAACAACAATTAAGAGGGGGTTCCACGCTCCTCAAAACCACCTCATATGAGGACTTGCTGCCGGATGTAGTTTATCGTCATACCCAGGACGAGAACAAGACGAGATATGCATATACACCGGAAGCGGAACAAGATCAATCTACTCCCACCATATATTAAATAAAGTGTTCTGCTCGAAATTCCCTGGAGGTTACCTAGGTCAAAAGACACCTGAAGAAGGCTGAAGGGTACATTGATTGTTATGATGCAACAAAGAACAGAACAATAGTTCGAATCTAAATGATGGAGTGTATTATTCTTTATAGATTTTCATTACGAATTGAAACTTACTGTTTCTTTCGTTTATTGGAGAGTAACTCATTAATATTCATTAGTCAGTATCTGCTCACATACCTTCCCTATCGTCTAGGATCTTGATCTAACAAAACTGTAACATTCATAAATATCACCTTACACTTTCTTGTTCTAAAACTTTGATTTTGTCTACGAGCACATATTAAAGAGCCATAATGATTTTTATTGCCGGAAACATCTTGACAATAAAATGAATAGAATAAGATTATGATCAAAAGTTAAACTAACCGCTTGAGTGGTCCGAAACATGTTATGTTTTTAATCTGAGCAAATCAAGTATTTTCTCTGTGAAAGCAGGGAGTCCAATGTTCTGAAACGAAGCCAAAGTTACCTTTCAGTAAGTTTATTTGCTGATGACAAGTCACTCCAAATAGAACATCACATTCGCAGGTCGAGAGATTCTTATCACGTAATCCTCACCGCCAATGCGTTACAGAGATTTTTCATGGAGATTATCCCTCAAGGTCACGGTGAAAATGCGAAAAGGACGTACATATGTTTTATTATTTACTCTATGTTTCACTTCGATACACACAGTGTTCGATCGAAGGAATATTACTTGATTTGCGATTAGAAGTGAATCGTTTCAGTTCACACACGTATTTATGTAGTGATTCAATAAGATGATTATACTCAGGCTTTTACGCAGATAAAAGAGTTTAAAGTAAAATAAAACTGACACACTTGATTGCTATATTTTTCAAAGAAAATTACTTTCATCACAAAGAAGCTTTGCTATATGTGTGTGGATATATATTTATTATTATAACGCTAATATTAACCGAAAAGTATATCAATTTAGAACGTTCTAATAAAAAGCAACAAGAAAATATAATTAAAAACAGACAGACAGATCTGTTAGACAAATTGCGATTGCTTGATCGATAGATCCTACCACAGTTTGATAGAAAAAATAGACTGCGATAGATAGATAGATAGATAGATAGATAGATAGATAGATAGATAGATCACTGTGCGAATTAATTGAAACAAAACAAATAATTCCGTTATTTTTTTCGTATTTTTCCAATGAAACATGACCCAGTGCATATGTTAGTACTTTGTATGTCCATTCCACGAAGTCGTTCCTTACAGATTGACCACTGATTCTTGTTTGGATTTAATTCAGGAGAGTTTCCGACCCAGTATATAGTTCTTTCATTTGCTCACTGGTAAGGCTTGCCAGTGTGTTCATGCAGTGTTACAATTTTCGTACGATTCCTTGGAGTAACGTCCATCGCAAACAATGGCCGTAGGACAACTAATCGACAGTCGAGACAGTAGTGTCTGGGCGTGATAAAAATCTGATGCAATCATGGATGATGCAATATTTTTCAGCCAAAAAAATTTTATCATACACCCCGAAAATAGATGCATATTACTGCACGCCATAGCAAATGACTTAGAATAGAAATCGATTAAACCCTGTCACTCCAGTGGGTCTAAAACTGACCATATGTAGATAGATAACACATAGTTGGATAGATAGTTTGATGTGCTTGTGTGTGAGTGTATGCATATTTGTGTTTTAAAGACTTGAAAGATGTAGATTCTTATATTGTAGGTAAACCAAAATAATGTAGTATCTTCATCTGTTTCTTTTGCCTGTCAATAGATCCCTCTCCATAAGGGGCTACATACCTAGTAATCTTTAACAATCTTTGAATCAAGTAAATGCTTAAAGAGTTATTATAAACAACTATTTGCCTATCACTGAACTAAGTAAATGCGTACAGGCTTAAATATAATCATAGAAAAAAAACTGATTTCAACATTAAATAACTCGTCAAGAGTAGATATGTAAAATCAATGGACCCAAACATATCTCGATATCTCTCTTTATTCATTTTTAGCTAACTTTTTTTCATCAAGCAATTTATGACTCGACTCCATATCAAACTAGTCATATCGATCATGAAATAGATTCTGATTTTCATAGCAAACAAGTCTTTATCATCGAGGTCTTGATACCTTGACTATTCATTTATTTGTAGTCTCCCTATCTCTAAAAACCTTTCGTATGAATGAAACAACTTTTTCCTTCTCTTAATACCCTCAGTCGATTGTTAAAGGGATGATACCAACAAGATGAAGTCTCAATCTCCCCAGTTATTTCGCAACTAACAGTTCTTTTGTGTCGTTTTACGAATGATAATTTAAAGTACAAATAAATACTTAAACCAATCTTATCAGCAAGAGTTTTATGGAGAAAAGATTAATCTAATTTTAAATAGATTCAGACTGTGATACAAAAAAAAAATCTTTCAAGGTGATTCCTCGTTTTCTAGGCTTACGGCCACATTACAGTGAAACACTGATTCCTGTACAATCTACGAAATTAAGCAACGTCGTGCCTGGTCAGTACCCAGATGGGTGACCGCTGGGGAATACCAGGTGCTGTAAGCTTGAATGTGCGGATAAAGTAATGAATAATGGCTTGCAATTGTTAATCGGAAACATATGAATACACCTCTTCTCCCATCTTAATCAGTAAGACTCTTTAACACTAAATCATTATCATCTTCAAATAAATTATTTCAATCTAAAAATATTTTCTGGCGTTAAATAACCTGCAAAGGGTTGAAAAGCCGTAAAAAATAAATAAAGCAAATAAAATAGACTTCATGAAAATGGCTTTTCCGAAAAGTTCATAGAACTGGATAGAATTTTGCTAGATTATTTTATATATGGTAAGTTAAAACAAACCTTATCGAATGAATTTTGAAATATATTTGCTGCGTAACGGAGAGTTTTTTTTTGTTTTTGTTTTGTTTTTTATTTTATTAGAGGCGCAGTCAGTGGTGATATACCAATAAAAAAGAATATTCAAAAATGTGTTCTAAATTCTCAAAAATTTTAAGGAGGGACATGCTCCAAATATTTTATGCATATTGGGTGCGCCAGGTCACACAGAATACATCATAAGAAGAGCGACAATAAAAATCAACATTAAAAATACCTATATTCAACTCGGAAGCGACTACCTGTTCAAATAAGATGCTTTTTGTTCATACTGGCCACGATAGCTGTTTTCAATGATTTTTTTAGGTATTGTGAAGCCGCTGTTTGGTTTCCCTCTCGGTGAAACCGCAGATATAGTTTTTTTTTACATTATTATTCAAGGCTCAAGAGCCACTCAACATAGAGGATTACTGAATGAGATTATTTCAAGGACGTAAGAAAAGTGGTTAAGATTGTAGTGCTTTGGGGAAGCATCATTTCAGGAGCCTGTTACACAAAATAGAACCTCTTTGCAAGAAGCTTTCCGAATGAAACATAAAATACGAAGTGAATGAAGATGATTCGATCCTGTGTATATGACATGGTGTGTCTTAGCTGTAAAAATCTGAAATTGATTGATTGGTTAATTAAGTGATTTGTATTTTACGGATTATCAACACTTTGGGGGTTATTTAAACCCGAAACATATCTTGGATTGTTAGAATAATCGTTTTTTGGAAGTAAATATATCATTAACAATTGAGAATAAAAATGGTTTCCCAGGTACAAATCCTACTATTTAACCGAAGGGAATTTGCGCTTAAGTGAAAAAAGGTTTGAAATATTAGATATAAAGAATTTGGCTCCTCAGAACCTTTTCTATGGAAATAGCGATAAAATAGAATAAGGATTGCGACACTTCGTCTATGGGAAAGGTGTTGTCGGATGGGAAACCGCCAACAAAGCTACTTTGAACTCTATCAAAGCTGGAGGGGGAGGACTAGACAGCTCCAAATATGGCAGCAACGCCCCCAAATGGATACAATTCAGGAGAGTTAAGAAGCAACATGTTTGTGAGGCGGTGGTATGTTTGTGAAAATGTCCTGTCAACCGCTCATAAGTCACTTGAGCCATGGTGAGAGTGAAAAAAATCCTCCTAGAAAACGTACAACCCCCTTCTCGATCCAACGCATGTCTACAATGTCCAGCCCCTCGAGGAATTCAATAGCATTCACCGTGACGTCCCGCGAGAAGACGTTAGACGGCAGGACATGATACTTGTTGTTCACGACGTCCAAGACCAACAGAGACAAAATGAAGTCGGCGTGCATCGTCCTATATACCTCTGTTGGTCTTCTTGTTCATTTAATCTCTTTCAAGAAGTCAGCTCTCTTTGAGTCGCTATGGTCGGTAGTTATTGCAACGGGCACAGCTAACCTTTTTATTTCCTTTGCCAAATTGTAAGTTGCCATGTTAATGCGTTCGTTACATCTGAAAGAGGAATGAGCATATTACGTAACATTATGTTAGGTCATTTTCCATTTATCATTAACTAAAGATGCGTTCTCAGATACCTGGTTCATCGTTCTAGGGATAAATTTAGAATATTTCTATTTCCCAACATATAAGTAAGCAGGTAAGTTTTATTCTCTCTAAACGGATCGTCAGGGTAATGCTGCCCCCCTGACGATCCGTTTAGGTGAAACCTAGGTAGGTTTGCCTGGCTCATTAGGTTTATCTTAGGTTTGCTCTACTTCGTGTATTGAGCACTTTACGTAGTTGCCTTTTACTCGTTTTGGAGTTTTTTTTTTCATTGGACTCTGAGAGTGAGCTCTGGAGGATTGTTTTCGCCTCAATTTCATGTTCTTTCTATTTTTTATTCCTCATTTTTCCTTGGATACTGGTTTGTTCTACTACAAGCCGAAGTACCCAAGGTTTTTCCAAGAGAGTACAGCTATATATATATATATATATATATATATATATATATACAAGCATAGATGTAAAGAGATGGAAACTGATGAATTAATCATTCTATACCACATCCCAGATGAATTAACTAATAGAAGACAAGAATCATGCTTTCCCTCTCCAGGCCAAAGTACTGTTTATGGGGCGGAAGTTATGCCGATGACATAGGTAATTATAGTAATTATTTTGAACAGAAAATCAACATTCTCTTCAAAGTCTTTCGTGAAATAGAATTCACGATAAACCTTTTCAAAACAAAATCCATGATTGCGAAATAGAATGAAAGCAGTTATGGCATATATTGTAGATCCATCTTAAAATTGTGAAATTAGTAAATCCATTTCCAATACATGAGTGTAAGGACCGGTTAAAACAAATTTAGCCTCGAAGATAAGGAAATTGAGGCTATGTACTAGAGATAGTTTCTCCTAGCACTGCAAATTGCTACAAAACCAAAACATTAATCCGAAAACAAGTGAAATGTTCTTAAATAGCCTCGTCAGATCAAAACTTTCACATGGATGTCATACATGGCACCAAACCGGTTCAAAAATAACTAAACTGCCAGCTCTATACAAGTGTTTTTCAGACCAATCGTTAAAAATGGCTTTGATCAAGTGACGAAAAGTATCCTTCTTCGAATTTTGTGGACTAGTGCACAGAATCGCAAACACGGAACTGTACTAAATGCCAAAAACCACATGAGGACTTTCAACAACAGCAACAAATAAAATGCATATCACATATAAGAGAAAATAATGTCATAATCAAGATGTTGACATTCAACACTACTTCAAACAAAAGGCTAGGAAGGAAACCTCCATGACTACTGGAAAGAACTATAATGGCTACTGAACTTGAAATACCTAAATAGTTTTTATGAATTTCATTTAACCGTACTACTGGCTGCTCGGGCAATTAATACCAACTATTTCTTTATAAGGAAATGGCTAATTTTATCACACACGTACGTATATATATATATATATATATATATATATATATATATATATATATATATATATATAGGACAAGTTACATTTGAAAACACAGTGCTCGATATAATGAGATAGAGCATTACTACTACTACTATTAATGATAATTGTGTTGAATTGGGTATAAAATATCTCTCATGTCATGAGGTATTCAACAAGTACGTGAACAAACCTATTTTCCTTGGATATATAAAAGCAAATTTTATTTACAGGTAACTCTAATTATGCGAAAGACTTGTATAAAAAATGATCACATACATATCTTTTCTTTATTGAAAAATACGAAAATATTTCTTTGGAGGGGTTATTTTTCTTTTTTATGTTTTCTTCGTCAGTCTCCAGTGAGTTAAATTATCTTTAATAGTAGTAAGTGTTTGCTAATTCCGGCATCTTATCTTTTTATATATACTTTTAGCATTATATTTTGAATCTAAATTTTCATGTAATGTGCCTTGTCAGAAGTAAAAAGAATGACTGAAACATTGAAACAATGAAATGAAATAGTTCTAAACCGAGTCAGCGTCAAAGGACATTCATTAACGTTTTTGTTACTTGTTAAGCGTCGAATGATGTGAATTACATAATGTCCCTTTTTTACAATGAGCACCTTGTTTTCATTCCCCCACTCCACTGGATACTGCTCTGACTATTGCAGGTATACGAACGTCAGCAAAGAAATATATATATATATATATATATATATATATATATATATATATATATATATATATATATATATATATATATATAGGAGGCGGTAGCAAACTTTCTTTTAAATATGTTTCATTGAGTATGACAGACAAGGAAAATTCAGTTTTTATTTAGTTTTTCTAGCATTCTTACATTTTACCGTTTAGTGGGAGTAATGGAATGCAATCATTGTCCGTGTTGTCCCAAGAGCTTCCAGCCACTACTTTAACCATTTTCAAAGAGGTTGTTTTTGTGTTGTTAATTTCTCTTCATGTTTGACTGTATAAGATGTATTTTTGTGTTTCTTTTTGTGAGGGAATTTATTCCTAGTTTCGCGTGTTGAGCGTGGCTGAAATTCGAGTGTCTTTCTATTGGTTTAAAAATAAATTTCAACACCCCATTACCCCTCTTGAATAAAGTGAGGTTGATAGTGTCAGCGAGATGTTTTATATACAGGATCTCTCTTCCAGCGGCACGGTGCTGAAAACTTCTCGGTTAAGAAGTTCTTCTCCCCATATTCGGATGTTTGATCATTTGGAGAGGTGGATCAATCCAAGTAAACTTCGTATCGTTTCGGTGCATTTATGACGTGTAAATATATTGATACATTTATCTGATAGAATATTGCCTTTAACCATGTTTCCCAACGAACCACAATTTTCCCGATCATGTTCTCAATAAATACGCTAAAAGCACCCACCCGTCCACCGAGATAGAAGCAATCTTTCCCTATTGATTCCTTGGCTTTTCATAAATACTGTAAATTACTTACGACCGAATCGCTATTCATAACAGCTCACATAGTCGAATTTCACAACAGCCTGATGGCGCGAAGATCAGGTCACAGGGGAAATCACTAGCCGAAAGTAAGTTTCACACTTACGCAATTCGAGCCCTTCATTGGTAATCCACACCTCGTGACGTGAAGCACTGTCATGCCGTCTCGTAGAACTATTTACAGTTGTACGACGAAAGGCTAAGTGGATATCTTGCAATGTTCAAATTTTATCCATTGTGAGGCAGGCTC